TCTTTTGTAGAAGACCGTTTCGTAGAAAGACGCAAGTGCGCGCTTGAATATTTTCGGGACTTCGGCGGTCCTGCCTTCGAGGTATTCTATTAGGGCCTTAAGTTCCGGGTCGGCCCTCTGTCGTTCAGCGAAGTCGTCGGTAGTTATCGTTCCTAAGAAGTAGTCGTCATCCGGGTCGTCGGGTAGCGGTTGGTCGACAGGCACACGAGAGAGACAGTCGGCGTCGGAGTGTTTTTTGCCGGACTTGTAAATGACAGTAATGTCATATTCCTGAAGTCTCAGGCTCCATCGTGCGAGGCGACCTGAGGGGTCCTTCAAGGTGGCTAGCCAACACAATGCGTGGTGGTCGCTCACAACTTTGAAGGGCCTGCCGTAGAGATAGGGGCGAAATTTCGACGTAGCCCAGATGATGGCGAGGCACTCCTTTTCTGTTGTGGAATAATTTGCTTCTACTTTGGATAGCGATCGGCTGGCGTAACTAATAACCCTTTCAAGTCCGTCAGCCCTCTGCACAAGAACGGCGCCAAGACCTACGCTGCTTGCGTCAGTATGTATTTCTGTCTCGGCGAATTCGTCGAAATGGGCAAGTAACGGAGGCATCTGGAGGCGATGTTTAAGCTCCTGGAAAGCGTGTTCCTGCGGCGTTTCCCACTTAAACTCCACGTCGGCCTTGGTAAGGTTAGTGAGAGGATCGGCGATGCGGGCGAAGTTTTTCACGAACCGCCTATAATAGGCACACAGGCCCAGAAATCGGCGCACGGCTTTCTTGTCGGTGGGCGGCGGGAAGTCGGCGATGGCGGCTGTTTTCCGTGGATCGGGACGAACTCCAGACTTGCTGATAACGTGCCCCAGAAACAAGAGCTCCTCATACGCAAATCTGCACTTTTCTGGCTTCAGTGTGAGTCCGGAAGTCTTGATGGCTTGAAGTACAGCTTCAAGGCGCCGAAGATGCTCGTCGAAACTCGAGGAAAACACGACGACGTCGTCCAAGTACACAAGGCAAGTCTGCCACTTCAATCCTGCCAGTACTGTATCCATAACGCGTTGAAACGTTGCAGGCGCTGAGCAAAGGCCGAAGGGCATCACCTTAAACTCGAAGAGGCCGTCCGGTGTTATGAACGCCGTCTTCTCTCGGTCTCTTTCGTCGACTTCGATTTGCCAATAGCCAGTCTTAAGGTCCATTTACGAAAAGTACTTGGCGTTATGGAGCCGATCAAGTGCGTCGTCTATTCGTGGGAGGGGATACACGTCCTTTCTTGTGATTTTGTTCAGGCGGCGATAATCGACGCAGAAACGTAGGGTCCCATCCTTTTTCTTCACTAACACCACGGGGGATGCCCATGGACTTTTGGACGGCTGGATAATGTCATCCCGCAGCATTTCATCAACTTGTCTCTTCATGGCCTCACGTTCTCGCGTCGAAACCCTGTACGGACTCTGACGGAGTGGTCTGGCATTTTCTTCGGTTATGATGCGATGTTTCGTGATTGGGGTCTGCCGAATTTTCGATGACGACGAAAAGCAATCTTCGTATTGCAGGAGCAGGGCCTTGAGCTGTTTTTGCTTATCGTTCGGAAGTCTGGGATTGACGTCGAAAGCTATGGGAGGGGCTTGGTTCCTCTGAGCAGGTTCCGCAGAATCGGCGAGGGCGAAAGCACTGGTGGCTTCGACAATTTCTTCGATGTATGCGACCGTTGTTCCTTTGTTAACATGCTTGTACTCATTGCTAAAATTCGTGAGCAAAACCGTTGCTTTGCCTCCCCGCAGCTCTGCAATTCCTCTTGCGACGCAAATATTTCGGGTGACCAACAGATGCTGACTGCCTTCAACGACGCCTTTGAAGTCAGGTGATTCAGGAGCGCCGACTGAAATAATGACGCTTGAGCGAGGCGGAATGGTGACTTGTTCTTCCAGCACATTCAAGGCATGGTGTCCAGACGGCGTGCGCGGCGGCAGTGCTTCTTCTGTGGATAACGTTATCGACTTTGTTTTTAGGTTGATGACAGCACCATGGAGGCATAAGAAGTCCATGCCAAGGATGACATCTCTCGAGCAACGCTGTAGGACTATGAAGTCTGTAGGATAAATACGGCCGTTAATGGTGACTCTCGCTGTGCAGATTCCTGCAGGCGTTACGAGATGACCTCCGGCTGTGCGGATTTCAGGGCCTTTCCAAGCTGTCCAAACTTTCTTTAACTTCGCGGCGAACGACCCACTGATGACAGAATAGTCGGCTCCAGTATCGACGAGAGCAGTCACACTGTGGCCGTCGATAAGAACGTCGAGGTCGCTAGTTCGCCGTCTCGCATTACAGTTAGGGCGTGGCGTCGGGTCACGGCTGCGTCGGCTTGTTCCGCTGCTTCCATGCTGCGTCGTCAGGCCACCTTCGGTAAATGAGCTTTCGCCGTCAGGGCTTTGCCTGGCTGGCGTTGTGTTCGGAAAGCTCCGTCGCGGCGGCGTCGTCGTCGGAGGATCTTCGGTAGTTCGTCGCACAGCAACCGCACCTCCACCGGTTGCTGCCCTTAGTTTCCCGGATACGGGCTAGGAGACCGGCCCCGCGTTGGGCCAGAGTACTGCCGGTGGTGCGGTGACGTGCGGCGGCTGGGCGACGGCGAACGCGAAGGGCTTCGTGGTGTCCACCGAGTTCCTGTCAGGTAGTCGGCGATGTCACGTGGTCGTTCTCCTGGCTGTGGACGTGGTGCATTGACGGCGAAGCCACGCAGTCCCATCTGTCGGTACTGGCAACGGCGGTATGTGTGTCCGGCCTCGCCGCAGTGGTAGCAGAGCGGGCGATGGTCAGGGGTGCGCCAGACGTCAGTCTTTCTCGGTGCACTGCGCTGGGTTGCTGGCGAACGGTATGACGTCGGTGGGGGTGGTGGCGGCGGTGGCGTCTGTCGACGGAAGTGCGATGGGGCGGCGTTTTGGCGTGGACGGGGAGGAGCGTTGTGGCGCAGTGCAGCGGCGTAGCTCATAGCTTCCGGCTCGGGCAGCGGTGCGCGGGGAATTCGAAGCGATTGCCGAACTTCTTCTCGCACAATGTCGGTAATTGAATCCACTTGAGGCTGGGCCGAAGGCAACAGCTTGCGCAGCTCTTCCCGCACGATCGCTCGGATCGTTTCACGCAGGTCTCCGGAGTTACTGGCTTGAGCAGCAGCGCAGTCTGCAGTCAGGCGACGATTATACTGTCTGGTGCGCATGTCCAGGGTCTTTTCGATAGTGATCGCTTCTGCTACAAATTCTTGGACGGTTATCGGTGGGTTTCTCATCAGTCCCGCGAAGAGCTCCTGTTTGACCCCTCGCATGAGGAAACGAACTTTTTTCTCCTCAGGCATGTCTGGATCAGCGTGACGGAATAGTCGGGTCATTTCTTCTGTGAAAATGGCGACATTTTCATTTGGTAGCTGAACCCGAGTCTCTAATAAAGCAGCGGCCCTCTCTTTGCGAGCGACGCTCGCGAACGTTTGAAGGAATGCGCCGCAGAAAACATCCCACGTTCGGAGCGTAGACTCCCGATTTTCAAGCCAAGTCCTTGCGGTGTCTTCCAAATAGAAGAACACACGACGCAGCTTTTCGTCATGGTCCCAGTGGTTGAGGGCGGCCACACGGTCGTATGTCTCCAGCCAGGACTCCGGGTCTTCGAACGATGACCTATGGAAAATTGGTGGTTCCCTGGGTTGATGCATGACCATCGTGGGCTGGGACGCTGCGGTTGTCATTGTCGCTGCAGTCGCGGTCATGGCCTTCGTCTTCCGCGCCTTGTCTGGTAGAAGGCCGTACTCCGGTGGTAGCCCTTGCTGTCGGCGGCTTGTTCGCTGCTCCTGGTTGGTGTCGGTGTCTTCTCCGCGACGTGGGCTGGGTTCACGGCTTGACGGGGGCGTCCGGTACATGAACGAAGCAGCACCTCCACCAGATGTCACGGGGTCGTGACGTGGCCGAAGACAGGAGACTTCGTGTTAGGATTTAACTGTTTATTTGGGCGAACCTGTGCCCGGTAAACTGAAAGTCCAATTACAGCAGCAGTCTCGCACAGATAGCAGTCTCGGACTGATAGCGGCGAACGGAGCGTCGGCCTTCGATCAACAACTGACAAGCGGCGAAGCGCGCCGGCATTTATACTCTTGCCGTCGAATGTTCTAGCGTTATCGCTGGCGGTGGCGTAGCTTCCAGAACAATCTGTACCTTTCGCACAGTGGGCGTGATCTTATCGAAATGATCTACTACAGTCCGGAACCTTCTAGACAACTGCAGGTGCGGTTTGCGCTGAGAATCGTGCGGTGTTTTCGGACGATAACAAAAACTTGGGAAATGGAACGTGGCAATATCGTTTATATATATATTGATCGGCAGTGGCCCCAGGATGCTACCTTGTGAGACGCCATTTGTAGTACTTTGCAACTGTGAAGCATAATTGATAATGACTACGTATTGAGACCGCGATCGCAGGTACGACTTTATTAGGTTAACGATGTAGCCACGTACACCATAGTGCTAGTGCTCTAATATCTCAAAAAGTATGTAGCAAACCAACTTGCCCAAAAATATGTTCTCTTGAGAGTTTAATTGTTGTCATTTAACCTTGGATTGGGGCTTCGAAGCAAGATGATGACTAGTTTTTCTTTTTAGGGCATGTTTTTTCGCCGCATAGAACTCCCTTGCTGCAGTGAAAGCACCTGTACATGGGGTTGGATGTGGTCTAATGTACGTCTTATTTATTTTGAGCACCTTGAAACTCCAAATAATTTGACTTCTTGTCAAACTGAATTTGTTGACTGTAACATTCTTTTTAATGTTCAAAGTGCTCGAATATTCGCTCATGCCTACGAAAGATGGAAGTAAAGTGTGGGATTGGGCTAGTTGGTAATGCATTATTCGAACTTCTCAGTGCAAAAACTTCCGACAAGTAACACAAAAGACGAGGACGAGCGCAGACTTTCAACTAATTTCAACTAATTGCTGCAGCTTCGATTACAAGATGGAAATTTGTTTTTCCTGTCTTGCAGATTCACGAGACTGTGGAGACCATCAACCAGCTGAAGACCAATCGAGAGTTCTTCCTGAGCTTCGCCAAAGACCCCCAACAGTTTATCAGCAAATGGCTGGTCTCTCAGATGCGAGACCTGAAGGTCTGGCTGCTTGTGTTCGCTTTAAGTTGCACCAACCTGTGCAAACACGCAAATTTTTACAATTTTCTCATGATATTTAGTGAGATGTTAGATGGCACCAGAGTGAAAGCACTAATCTTGATTGAATTTGCCAAATTTGACTAGATGTGTCTGTCTAGTGGCAACCACTAAGGTGTGTCGACCAGAATTTTTTTGTTTCGACATGGTCAGGGTCATATTTCGTTCTTGAAGGGGCTTTTGTGACTTCCCGTGTGTAACTCTGCTTCGAAAAAGGAATGTTGTTGCTAAATACGTATATTTAAGGAGACAAACTCAAAAGGCATCGATCACATTTGACAGCCTCACCTGCAGACTGTTCTAATTTCTTTGTTTCTGGCTAAATGTAGTTATGGGGAGTGGTTGAACGTAATAGAGAAATGCTCAGAGTATAACCAACCACTATACATAGCCTTCATAGATTACGAGAAGGCGTTTGATTCAGTAGAAATATCAGCCGTCATGCAGACACTGCGGAATCAGGGCGTAGATGAAGTATATATAAACATTCTGGAAGAAATCTACAGGGGATCAACTGCTACCATAGTGCTTCATAAAGAAAGCAACAGAATACCAATCAAGAAGGGTGTAAGGCAGGGGGACACAATCTCCCCAATGCTATTTACCGCGTTCTTACTGGAGGTTTTCAGAAGCCTAGAATGGGAACAGTTAGGGATAAAAGTTAATGGAGAATACCTTAGTAACCTGCGCTTCGCCGATGACATTGCATTGCTGAGTAACTCAGGGGACGAATTGCAACTCATGATTACAGAGTTAGATAAGGAGAGCAGAAAGGTGGGTCTTAAAATTAATCTGCAGAAAACGAAAGTAATGTACAACAACCTCGGAAAGGAGCAGCGCTTCGAGATAGGTAATAGTGCACTTGAAGTTGTATAAGACTATGTCTACTTAGGGCAGGTAATAACCGCAGAGTCTAACCACGAGATTGAAGTAACTAGAAGAATAAGAATGGGGTGGAGCACATTCGGCAAGCACTCTCAAATTATGACAGGTAGATTGCCACTATCCCTCAAGAAGAAGGTATATAACAGCTGTATCTTGCCGGTACTTAGCTACGGAGCAGAAACCTGGAGACTTACAAAAAGTGTTCAGCTTAAAATGAGGACGACGCAGCGAGCAATGGAAAGAAAAATGATAGGTGTAACCTTAAGAGACAAGAAGGGAGCAGAGTGGATTAGGGGACAAACGGGGGTTAAAGATATCATAGTTGAAATAAAGAAGAGGAAATGGACATGGGCCGGGCATGTAGCGCGTAGACAGGATAACCGCTGGTCATTAAGGGTAACTAACTGGATTCCCAGAGAAGGGAAGCGGGTTGGGGGGAGACAGAAGGTTAGGTGGGCAGACGAGATTAAGAAGTTTGCGGGTATAAATTGGCAGCAGCAAGCACAGGACCGGGTTAACTGGCGGAACATGGGAGAGGCCTTTGTCCTGCAGTGGACGTAGTCAGGCTGATGATGATGAACGTGAGTCATCTGCGGCCCCAGTTATTTCATTAACCTCACTGTGGGGCCAAGTTTTGGGACAAAAACTCGAGCATTTTGATAATGCATGATGGTATAATGAATGAGTGAGATGTCCAAGATAATTCGTATAAATTTATTGTTTCATGTTGCGAGATGGTTTCATCAGAAACCATTTCATCGATCGAACTAAATCAAAATTAAGGCCATCACAGTTTCAGTAGACTACAAAATCATATCACCACTATGAAGTGGAAACCCTTTCAGAACATGGTGCAGGATTAGTACAGACAGGGCACTGCTGGTATCTGGTTCATTTTCAATCATTTTTGCGGGCCTTAAAAAAGTTTCACGATGCTGCGGGCTTGTTATGAATACAAAGGTCACCTTTTTGGACTTTGTCTAGGCAGTTGTTGGGGATCTTTTGCGGCTCCTGAAGTCCTTCCTGGATTGAAGCATAATTCCAATGGAACCTTTGTAACTGTTCGGTTCGGAGGGTGGTGTTGATGGCGGTGACTGCTGTGCTGGTGAAACGACTGGGGCTTGTGATGAGCCTTACCCCTTCGAAGTTCAGTGCAGTGACCAACCACTACGTGACAAGGCCATTTCAGTGCCATGGTTCCAGCGTAGCTGCTAGCTCTTGACAAATCTGCGGTTCATTCTACCCTACTCTCGAGGCAGAATGAGTCTCGATGTGCGGCCATCTGCAGGCGATAGTGTCCAAAAAGGTTCGATATAGCTTGAAGCCTTCTCAAGCAGGTATTTGCGACGTGCAGATGAATAGAGGTTGCCATTTTTGTCACCAAGTGAACGGCCATCTTGGAATCGTATTTGTAGAGCAAAAATCAGGCACAGACACATGTAAGAAATACATACCCAGGACTCTTCTTGCACTGGACTGGGAGATGCCATTCCTTTCATCACAGCATCCAGGTGGTTACGAAAGCGTTGAGAATCTTTGATGACCATCGATGCTGTTAATAGTTGGGGAACTTCAGTTTAACATTGTGACAGAGCCAGATAACTGTTGTTATAACATTTCAGAAGTCCCTGTCTATTCTGTAAAGTACACTCTTCTCTCGTTAAACGGAACCTGAATGGACCAGGAAAATCTGTCTCTTTTAACAGGATTTTTATTTAATGAGAGATAAACAGGGGTGCAGAATTTAGGTATGTTTCAATCATGCTGGAGGTAGTTTCATTTAACAGATTACCGTTTACTTGGAGTTTACTGTAATATGAATGGAAGGTTTCAGTGAAAATATTGAGCAGATCCCATGAATTGTGAAAATTTGTTTCATGCGAAGCAGTCTGCATTTTCTTTGCTTTTAGTCAAGCATTACAAGCTGGAGTGATGTGTGTTTTTTGTTTGTTTTTTTCCGTTTACGAAGTGGTTGCGTGTGCATCTTGGGCTTACCAGGCGTGTCGACTACACTGACGATTCAAGGGTAATTTACGGTCTAACGTTACATCAGCAGAGCAGAGACGTCAGTTTCAACAAAACAAAGTGAATGCAATGATGTGATCATCATGCACAGCACTCTGCATATTCCTTGGGGTTTGAGGAGCACGTACTATCAACAGCCAAAGTTTGTGGGACATGAAATGTTTGATGAAGCCGAATTCCCGTTTTGTCTAGCAATGTAATTTTGAAAGAAATCTTTCATACGGCAGTTGGCATTTCGACCTATTCAGTGACCAGCTTGATTACAAGTGTTAAGCACAGATATAGCAGAAATTGGCATTTGCTGTGGGCTTAACATCCTGCAAACTTTTGCTGTTGATAGTACATATAGTTTGCTTAGTCATAGAAGTGAGTTTCCTTGTAACACGTCTACCAGCCCGCATTGCATCTTATTGGGATGTCATTAATGGGGGGAGGCTACACTTGATAGGCAACTTTTTTATTTATGTATAGATCTCAACAAAACTTTCACAGTTTGTGTATTTAGATGTGCAGATTCCAAATATGTCATTACTTTTTTGATAGGTCTAGTAGTTTCCGAGATACTACACAATCGATGTATAACCTGGGTTCTTTGTTTGGAGCCTAATTAGCATCTAAGCAGGAAGCACGAAAATAGTGGCGACAGTGTAGAAACAATGTGGGATGTTTAATCAATTTGCTTGGCCAATTTTAAGAAGAGTTAGAGGGCATCAATGTTCACACAAAAAAAAAAAGCCATCTTCACCTATCACATGTACTGTTTCATTTGAAGAAATAAAAGGTATTAATATTATTATTATTATATGATGTAATTAAAAAATTTTTATTTGTATATTGCCTTCAAAATAAACATATTGCATACTGCATGTGTATTGCATACTGCATGCATATTGCATACTGCATCTTTCTGGCGAAAAATAATTATGCTGATAGCTCGAATGGAGCAGAAGTTATTCTCCCTCCAACTTGGTAAATGTGCCAAGATTGCTGTTTTAAGAAAACGAGAAAATATTGTTTCAAAACACCTTTATTGAAGAAATCCTAATGAAATCTCATGAAAAGGCACCAGGGGTATAATCTGAATGCATCCCATCCTATTGCTTCTTCTTGACCGACTTTCTCAGACATTGGGACGCTTTTCTCTATTTATTTGAGATTGCACTCTGACGACAGTCCTTCTCCCTAGCCCTCAGGAATGTGGTGCTGAATGTTGTGATGTCCAGCTGCTGTAGAATCGCAGCAAATGCATTGACATTGCCTGTGTTGAAGTGCAGAACAGCTTCTGCAAGAGCAGCTTGCACAGCAAAAAGAGAAGTGTGCTGCTCCTTTGATACTAAACTCCAAATCACGGATTTGAGGCTTTCGTGTGAATTCTGAGTCTTGCCTTGCTGGCATCTTGCCTCGATGCTGCACCACTTGACTCCAAAAAATGCTCAATTTTTCGCACTGTTGCCGACACCGATGAAAGACCCTCAAGCGTTGTGGTTGCCTTGCGGGCGCACGTCGCGAACTTCACTGGCACCGATCACATCAGCGTTTACCCGCACACAGCCGGAGTCGACATCGCGCGCGCTGTCAGAGAGTCTCATGTCTATGCGCACTTCACCGTTGCCGATAGCATCAACGCGGTCATGATCCAAAGAGCGTCCGCTATCCGGGGAAGCCGTCTCGCACACTCCTCCATTGATAACATCTTCAGTACACATGCGGCCAGCGTCCATGCCGCACACACAGGAGGAACCCTCTTCGGTTACGACTGCGTTACCAAACAACGTCAGTGCTTGCTCCCGTCTGCCTCTGCCTTTCTTCCGCAAACAACCAAAATGATGCTGCGATGGGAACTTTTTTGCACTGCCGGGCATAGCGAGACGCACAAGCACGTTAGGGATACGACACCTTCACAAGGGCGATACCCTTTCAAAATGGCTGTGGACACTGCCAGGGAGTTTTCCTGGCCAATCGGAAAGCGCAATTCTGGTCATGTGCGTCAAGTAACCAATAAAATCACGCGCTGTGTGTGGTTTCACTTCGCTTCTTTTGGTTTTGCGAGAGACACATAGCTGTCTACTGGAAAAAGAAAAAAAACTAGAAATGCAACCATTCCAACAAGATCAAAATTGCACTGGTGGAGCGCGTAGTTCGCGTGCAGTCGGTGGTTAAAGTAAGGCTAGTTTACACTTCAATTTAAAGGTTCGCTTGCGCGAAGTCGCCCTCTTTATGGGTTATAACTTGAGGAATAAGCGGAATTTCGAAGCCTAACTTTGCTGACAGGTGCGGAAGGGCATTGGGAACGCGAAAATGACGAGAGAGAAAATGCGATTTTTTGGCAGAGCCGCTTCCCACTTTGAAGCAGAGCTAACTCTGGAACAACAACCAATGTCAACCTCACGTGATGCTTGTACAATTTTATGTAATGTTCATTACTCTCTTATAGCCAGCACTGCAACCACAATTCATATTTCACCGAAATGCGGTGTGCATGGAGGTTTCCAAAGCTATTTCTAGACCTGGCATGGATTTGTAGTAGAATTGCCACACAGAGTGCCTGTGTTTGATTCCTGCTGGGCTCTTGGCATTTATTCTTTGCTTTAGTTGAGCCATCATGGCTGATGCTGAGTTTTCTTAACGGTCTTGCATTGAAATGATCAATCTTTTTTCTTGGAGTTACTGGGTAGGTATAAAATGTGATATCAGCTGTGGCGCATACAGAAGTCCGTGGTCATGTGCCACACGTGACTGGAAAAAAGGAATTCATGACGTCCACGATGGGATTTCTGCGTTATTCATGTCATGACTAGAAATTCATGTTCATCATAGCCTCATGCTGAGTTTGGCTGATGCCTAGTTAAAAAGGCGACCACTAGTACACAAAAATGTTGGCAGCTACATTTAGATAGGTAGGTAGAACGCTCAGAGTGCCTTTGCTTTGCTATGGAATGCTTCGCATATAAAATATAACATTTATGCTGGCATTTCAAATGGGGACTGGCATTTATCAAATTCACTGCAGTAGACTTGATGCCTTCAGGTCGTCTGTGCGAGTGTTTTGGTCAGCTGCCAGCTTGTAAATAGATCGTGTGCAAGAAAGTGTGTTCCACGTTCACTGTGATGGCCGCAAGCAGTGCTGGCTAACTGTTCTAGGTCATATGTGTAAATATAGTCAATATAGGGTACAGAAGGACAACTGAGGACCTTATCTTCTAGAGACACATCCAAGGTTAGGTGCTGAGCAAGTGTTAGGCATAATGTTAAGCAGAATGGACGAGACAGCAAACGAGAGCAGCTGGTGTTAAGCACTAGACTTTCACCTGGGCTGGCTATGTAAAGACAACTGTTGGTCAGTGAGCGCAACAGAAAGGACAGCAGTGAGTTCATAGAATGATGAATTAAAAAGTTCACTGCGATACAATGGAATCGGCTGACACAAGATGGAGTGAGTTCGAGATGGTTGGGAGAAGCCACTTTTGGTTCCGACTTGAGCAGCATCCCAATGGCCCAACATGACATCGCACTTGGCCTTCAATATTATTCACAACTAGTGAAGTAGTTTTTGCAAAGGAGAGAAAACAAATGGTTTTGCTTTTTCATTACTGACATGAAATAGTGAGGGGAAGAAGGAAAGACAGGGAATGGAAAGGAGATTGTTGCGGAGTACAACTACGCCTTCTGACAGTCTCGTGTCGAGCAGGTTCTCGAGCTAAGCACATTACAGGGATGAAAGCACAGCTTTAATATTGACACAAGGTAGGCTGGCAACTATAGTAGCCAGCCTCTGTGGAGGACAACGAGGTAGTTCTGTGTGCGCGTGGTCTGGTGTTCGCGTTTCTGGCCCTTGAGTTACGAAAGTAAACGCCCTGTTTTGTACCTGCGTACCTGTGTCTTTGTGACAATATAATGGCTTCCAAACGACACTTTTGAGGACAAATGCTAAACTAGGTGCAGTCTTCGTCTTCAGTAGCAACTGGAATCGGCATTCTCAACCCTGTCAAATTCATTTAGGTAGCTGCCCCCGGTAACCACAGTGGTGTGGATGATCCGCCTATACCCACCTTACACAGTGCATGTTTTGTTGGGCTGCCTAATGCGTCGAACAAGATAGATGGCAGCTGAGACCGAATATCTCATGTGTGTCAGCTAGCACTGAAGCATATGCTTGATGAGGTCCTGTGCAGCGTTACTCTGTATGTTTCATGGCATGGTAGCATCGCTGTTGTGTGCCATCTCAGAAGCACACTGAGAATGCAATGAAACAGCACAACATTGAAAGGGTGCTTATCGAGAGCACTATGCCTTGCAACAGTGCTGATTTTTCGAAGCCTGCAGCATCATTGTCTTCGCACACTGACGTTTGAAATGCAACTATAATTTTGCTGTCAGTAACAGAGTTAAAATAATGCTTCAATTTAGACTAGGTATCTTTCGTTATAAGTAAACAATAGATTTGTTAATACTTCAGTATATTTTGCTCTGGTTGCTGATAGGACCTTCTTGAATGCTGCACTGCTGAAAGGAGAACAGCTTCTTGTTTATTCTCATTGCACGTGTATCTTGATAATGTCGTGTTGTAGTAAGCTTCTCCAAAACGCAGTCAACCTGCTCGTGAGTGTGTGTTTCCTGCCACGAAAATTGGATTTTGCTGGTCCTAAGCACTCCGCATCTATTCCGTCTATGTTTTACAGTTTCATATAATACGGCCTGCATGCCCACAGCAGTCTCCACTTGAAATTAGCAATGTGTTTTCTTATTGTGTTTAAAAAAAATTAGCATGTGAAACAACTTGGACAAACTGACTCGTGGTATGCACAAGTGCATAAATACGGACAGCAGATTGGAGTGTGACAGTAAATTAAACTATTTCACTGCTGTAAAATATTAGAGCAGGAAAATCCAGACAGCTAACCTATAGTAAAACATATCATTTGCCAACTAACTGCCATAGCACTGACAATCTTCCATTGTGACCTTAATAATGTGTGTGTAAATTTGTTGTCATTCCACTGATAAAAGCACCAAAATCAAGCTACATTTTCTTCAAATGACAGCCAGGCCCCGCATTACAGTGGTTGTCTCTTTACACTGATCAAATTGTAATTAGTACTTAAAAAGAGAGTTAGTGCTGTGTTCAGGATTTATGAGCATGTTGGTAATGTGCTTTTGACGCTGTGCAGATAGCTGCATGTTTGGCAGAATAACGCGTCGAAGGCACTATTTGGAACAAACCTTTCATGAGTGATGATTGTCTTGGTGCAGACCATGACGGACGTAGTGGGCAGCCCTGAAGAAGAACGCCGTGCGGACTTCTACTACCAGCGCTGGGCCCAGGAAGCCGTGTGCCGCTACTTTTACGGCAAGGTGCAGCAGCGTCGAGCCGAGTTGGAGCAGGCGCTGGGCATTCGCAATGCCTAGTTAAATAAATTATTCTTTTTTCAACTGGCATGGTATTGCTCCAAGCATGCATGCTCTGCCTATGTTATTTCCTTAATTTAGGCCATCCTAGTTCTTGTTCGGACAACAGTGAGGATATGTATGGGGGGGGGGGGGGGGGGGGGGTCAAAAGTTTCCAGGCCACTATCCCACGTACTTATATGGAAGTGTGGCCTGGGAACTTTTGACCAGAACTGTACTGTGTGGATTTGAGGAAATTAAAGGTAAACATTTGGCAGAAATCTGCATGGTTGGGATAGGAACTGGGGAAATTCGGGAAAACTTGAGCCATGAACTTATTCTAGGGAAACTCGACGTTTCTAAGCCGAACCGGCTTCTTTGTCAAGGGTGAGAAAACCCTAGATGGGCAGCGCTTATATATATGGTTGCTTGCTGTGCACGTAAGGTGTTGCTGATGATTGCGGACTGGCGGCAACTAGAAGCAGAACATAGAGAAAGAGCAAAAAAAAAAGTTCTTCACAAGTGGTTGAATAAAGTCTTCAAACTGAGTACCTTTCTATACACTTTGAAGTGTAATGTCCCATCAAATCAACAGAAAGTGAAAACATTGCTTAATTATGAAAGGTTCAAAGACTGCTTGCGCTCTAATATTAAGGGAACATTCAATGGTAGAAATGAAGACCTCGTTGAGAACGTTCTCTCATTTTAAAAAATGCAGTAGTGGAAAACCTATGCCAACTGGAAATTACTGCACCATACTGCTCTAAAAGAACCTTTTTTTTATCTAATTCGTGTCATTGCTGTGCCACAAGGTGGTGAACTACAACAGCTCGGGGTCACGCGACCCAAAGTTAAGCGTCGCATCATGTGACGTCACTGGAAAAGCGATCGGCGTCAACTAGCTACGCCTTGTCAAGCGACTTTGAGGTCAAGTGACAAAAGGGGGGGGGGGGGGACACGAAAGCTTAGCAGGTGGGGAAGGTACGTTTTGTTTTCATCAATGCACTTCCACGCTCCATGCCCTGTCGGATTGAAGAGCCTGGTAAACGAAGCCCGCATAATTGAAGTCACTCCTCTGTGGCTTCACGTTTCATGCATAGTTGTGTAGGTATGAGAGTAATGAGTCTTGTCGAGGGGAGTGCCAAGTGTGTTGTGTATGGGGAGCCTACATGAATGGCCGGTCACCTAGGCGCCCTGTCGTGGGGCGGCAAACATACTTAGGAATATGTTTACCGGCATTTGCTGATACTGGCTGCTAGCGCCATCAAGGGAATCTACTGAAGTTTACAGGTGTACAGCCTGTAGTCTTCCCGTTGGCCATTCGGTTGTCTTGGGGCATTACACAGTAGGCGCTTCTCATTTTTGAAGTAACCAGTGAACAGTTGACAAATACAGGGGTCAAGAAACTTGTCTAGAATGCCATAAGTGCACGCTCCAGCACCCTTTGGCTCCATGTTTTCCGATATCTAGTTGTTGACAACCCACTCATGGCGGCTTGGCATGTGCTATAATTATGGCTCTTTCGAAATAGTGGCAATCAGACAACGTCGTCAGTGCACTTCAGAGCGCGCCTTTTTGGTGTTTTTAACAAATGTGTTGACCAGTGACCTCTACTTTACTACGTTACGCATGGCAACACACGGCTCACCAGTGAGACGAGCGCTCGCTCTGTTCCCTTACTTAACTGGTTGATCTGATCGTCGCAGGGCACAATCCAAGGTGGTAGCATTTTCAATGGAGGCAAATATGTTTGAGACCTGGGTGCTCAGATTCCAGGTGCGCAGTAAAGAACCCCAAGTGGTCGAAATTACCGCAGCCCTCCACTACGGCGTCTCTAATGTCTTTTGGTATTTTAGACTCCATAGTCTATTCGATTAAAAAAAAGTGCGCGGCACCGCATACAAAAAGGTGCAGCCGGTGCCAACACCTTGTGCCGCAGGTGTAACTAGGTGTCTGGGCAGCCATTTTGGGGTGCAAATGAGTGGATGGATGGATTGATATGGCTGTACCCTTTAAATCGGGTGGCGGCTAACGCCACCTAGCCGTAATACTTAACCAAAAATATCCCACGTTTCATCCTATGTTTCGTGCTCTACATCAACATACATAGATAGCATGTCGGCCAGTGCTTTGTTTAACCTCTCCGTCAAGCCGTTCGTTTGGGGATGATAAGCTGTTGTTTTCCGGCGGTTGGTGTGCGTCAGCTTGGCGACTTGTTGCAATAACTCTGTCGTAAATGCTGCTTCGCGATCGGTTATGAGAACAGCAGGTGCACCATGACGCAAAACAATGTTGTGGACAAAGAATCTGGCGACTTCAACTGCAGTTCCATTAGGCACAGCTTTGGTTTCTGCATAGCGAGTCAGATAGTCGGTTGCGACGATTATCCACTTATTTTCTGAGGATGACGTAGGGAATGGACCAAGAAGATCTATTCCCACTTCCTAAAATGGTGTTTGAGGTGAATTTAAAGGTTGGAGGAAACTGGCGGGCTTTGTGGGTGGAACTTTACACCTCTGACAGTCAAGGCAGGTGCGGACATAGCGCTGAACGGAGGAATACAGCTGTGGCCAGCAGTACTTCTGTCGGATGTGCGCTAATGTCCTAGCAAAGCCTAAGTGACCGGCCGAAGGATCGTCACGGCACGCCTGCAAAACTTCCTCACGCAGTGCCGTTGGAACAGCGAGGAGGAAAATATCCTGGCTGCTCTCAAGATTTGTCTTGTAGAGAACATTGTTCCGCAGGCAATACGATGTTAAACCACGCGAGAGCTGGCGTGGGACGATAACATCTTCCCCTTGAAGATGCTGGATGACAGGAAGTAGCTCAGTGTCCTCACATTGAAGCTCAGCCATTCGCACCACATTGACGATATCAAGAAACGGCAAATTTTGTTCAGTGTCAGATGACGTCGGGGAAATAGGAGCTCGAGACAGGCAGTCAGCATCTGTATACTTAGTCCTGGTCGGTAGACCACCGTTATGTCGTACTCTTGAAGTCGGAGGCTCCAGCGGGCGAGGCGGCCTGATGGATCCTGCAGATTGGCAAGCCAACAGGGCGAATAGTGGTCACTGACCGCTCGAAATGGCTGGCCGTATAGGTAGGGTCGAAACTTGCTAATGGCACAAACGACTGCTAGGCACTCTTTTTCGGTGGTAGAGTAATTAGCCTCTGCTTTTGTGAGACTGCGGCTCGCGTAAGCGATCACACGCTCTGCGCCGTTCTGCCATTGAACTAAAATGGCTCCAATTCCTACGTTGCTGGCGTCTGTGTGGATCTCGGTGTCGGCAGTGTCGTCGAAATGTGCCAGCACTAGAGCTGTCTGCAGTCGATTGCGTAGCTCTACGAAGGCTTGTTGTTCCTCGTCCATACGAAAGGCACATCTGGCCGTGTCAGTCTTGTAAGAGGTTCCGCAATTCGAAGGCATCTTCGCTGCCCTCGAATAATGTCCATCCCATATCACCATAAACTCCATGATTTGGTGTATTCCTGTGAGCTCCTAAAGCAAGCCTACCTATTCCACGTTGCTTAATTTGTAATCTTGCTTGAACTTCTGGTCACAAGCACAAGACCGCACTGCCCAAAGCCAGACCAAGAAACATGACCCCTTTTTATATTTCTCTCACAAAATCATACCTATTATAATTCCACAGTGCCATATTTTTCATCACCGCTGCATTCCTGTTACCTTTAGTCGTTACGTATATTTCGTGTACCTTTAGGTACTCGGTCGCATTGCTTATCCATACGCCCAGGTATTTGTATTTATTCGTTATCTCTACCGTGACCTCCTGTATTGTAAGCTCACTACCTTAATTATTATTAGAAATCATGACTGTTGATTTTTTCTTAATCTCAAATCTAACTTATCTTCCTCATTAGCGCAGATGTCATCAATCTCTGCGCTAATCTTCCTTGTTGTCAGCCATTAGCATTATATCATCTGCCTACATGAATGCTGGTAGTGCATGTTCAATTAGTTTTTTTTTGTTTGGTGAGAGAGGTTGAAGCCAAGTCCACTCCCTTATAATATGGCCTCTAATCCTTGTAGGTACATCATGAATAAAGAGGGTGACAGAGGACACCCCTGCCTAAGCCCACATTTTAACTCTCTGGGCTTGGATACCTGTTTTCCCACTTTATAACTACCTTCTTACTTCTATAGATATTCTTTAAAAGATTAGTGACTCCATCTTTCTCACCTAGTGTGTCCACTATTCCCCACAAGTCCTCTTGAACCACGCTATCGTACGCTCCCTTGATATCCAAAAATGCTAGCCACAGGGGCCTGTGTTCTTTTTCTGCTATTTCGATGCACTGCGTCAGACCTCACTGACGCAGTGCACCAAAATAGGAGGAGGACGAAAGTTGCGGTAGCAACTCTCGACCTCCTGTGTTTTCGAAACCCATTATGCAGTTCCCCACGCACCCCCTCATACATGCTTCACATCTTTCCTTTATAATCTGCATCGCCAGTCTGTAGATCGCTGATGTCACTCTTATAGGACGGTAATGTTTATGTCAGCTTCGTCCCCTGTTCCTTTATAGATCATGCTTATCCTGCCAAGTTTCCATGGTGGGGAAGCACGTGCGCCCAGTTACCCTTTCCCTCTTACGGCCACGCGACAGCCTAGTCGTGAGGACATGTCTGTTCCTTTAGGTAGTGGACAATAAATCTTCTTGCGAAGGGATGGAACAACCCCACGGCCAGCGCTCACGATTCCCCTTTTCCTGGCACACAGAACGCGTTTCATTCCCTCGGCGAAGAAACAAACCTTCGTCAAGCAGCGGGAAACCGGGTCAGTCAACAAAACTGGCTTGCGGTCAGTCGCACGCTCCCTCTGACACCGACGAAAAAAGGAGGAGGTCAAGCCCGCAACCCCCTGCGAGCCAAGGATGGCAACGACCCAGGTGTAAGCGTCGGCACTTTTGTCATCCGTCTCTCTTCGCGACGCGCTATTGCTAGCGTAAAGCAATAAAGTATCATTTTGTTGACCTAGCCTGTTGCCTTATTTGCCCGAACCCGTGTAGCTACTATGAGACAAGCTACA